CCCCAAAACCGGGGCTTACTACCTGAAGCAACTGGGGGATGCGAGTAATAAGCTCGTTGCCCAGGCTCAGGAGTTGAAGACGTTAAGGGACAATATGGTTCCGGCGAACCTGTCCCACAGCAGGAGGCTTGCGGAAAAGGCGGCGACTGAGGAGTTTAAAAACGCCCCATCCGCAAGCCTTCCCAGCGAGGTGTTCGATGCTATCAATAGCATCAATTTGGTCGCGGATAAGTCCACGAACCTGAAAGGCGAACATCGAGGCCTATTGAATAAGGGTGCGGCCCGCATCAAGGCTGCGGTGACAGCTCTTGTCGAAAGGTATGAGGCCCCGGAGGTGGACTTGACAAGAGATGTAGAAATGGAATCTCTAAGAGAGCGATTAACGGTTCAGGAAAAAGAGATGGAGACCTTGCGACGTGAGAGGGCACAAATAGAGCAGGCGCGACACGAAGAACGGACTCAAAACGAGTCCCTTCAAAAGGAACTGCGTGAGCTCCGCTCTGAAATAGAACGTCTCAAGTCGCAACGGGCTCCTGAGGAACGCGTACATCCACCGTCAACGTCTAGGTCGAGGCCAGCTTTCGACAGGGAGGCAAGAGGCCTCTCCCACCGGCGTTTACCACATCGTCGGAGGTCGAGGACGAAGATATAGAGATGGCCGAGACATTTGGCGTTGAGATTAATCGCCCGGTCGAAAAGACGAAGGATGGGGATGAGAACGCCTGCACAAGGGGTAGAGTTCTCGCAGACATTGCGAAGAACGGAATGCCCCCTGTGATCCGTCCAGAGGTTCAGGGAGTCAGGCGGATCATTGATCCCGCTATCCCTGCCGCAGGATCGAGAGAAAATACCCCCGGCACAACAACTGCCGCCTCAACAATGGAGGACAGACTAGCAAAAATGCTGGTCCTCTTTATTGAGGAAAAAGTGAAGAAGATGAGCAATCAGCTGATGGAGCGTGTCAACCGAATGGTCGCCCCTCTTGCACCTAAGGGAGGAACAGCCCCCTCTCAGACAATCGCGAAACCGTCTTTCCCGTCGCGCGGGTCTGATGTACAAAATCAGAACGGGGGGGGGGAAGCCCGCGGATGGGGACGAAAGGACCCCCAGGGGAAAAAAGGGAAAGAAAAAGAAGAAAAAAAAGGGCAAGAAGGGGGCAAAGGAGCAGTCCGCTCCTGCAGCAGCTGCATCCGTCGGAACACGGACGCAAAGGCCGGGACCCGCGAGTGCTCTTGCCGTGGAGGGAGCGTCACGGAAGCCCCCTGGGGCTGCTGAGACCAGAGCGAGAGAATCTTCCGCTGGGGCTACCGGGAACAACTGGGCTCAGGCCGTTGGGCGCAAAGCCCAAAAAGCCGCAAGGCCCACTTCCTCGTCCGGGGCGGCTACACCGTCGGGAGGGACTCGGCCCGCTGGACCTTTGGCTGGGAACACCAGAACCGGGATGAACCAAGGAAAAAAGGGGAGGAAAGATGCGCCCCTCCCCTCTTCATCCCGGTCCGCTAAGAAGAGGAGAAGAACGCCACGCACTGCGGCGGTCACGCTAACGTGTCCGCCGGATGACTACACAGAGTGTATGGCGTTGGTCCGTTAGCGAATCGTGCTGACGGACCTTGGAATCACCAAGACGCCAAACGTTAGGCGGACTGCGACCGGCGGCATCAGTCTGGAGCTATCTGGTCAGGGTAGCTTTGAAAAGGCTGATGCCCTGGCCGCTAGGATGGCGGACGTACTCTCGGGAAGAGAGGGGGTCTGGGTTGGTCGCCCCGTGACGACAGCCGATCTTCGTCTGACGAGCTTTGAGGGATCGGTGCTGGAGAGCGAAATCAGACACGCGGTGGCGATGAACGGCTGCGCGCCGCCGATGAGCGTGCACGTTGGGCCCATACGTAAGGGGCCCAACGGCTTGTGCACGGTTGTGGTGCGTTGTCCACTCGCTGCCGCCAATGCGATCGCCTGCATGGGGCGTCTAACGCTGGGGTGGTCTTTGCCTCGGGTGGCGATGCTGGAGAGAAGGCCTCTCCAGTGCTTCCGCTGCCTCGAGCTGGGACACACTAGGGCGACCTGTCCTAGCGAGGTGGACCGCACCGGCACGTGTTACCGGTGCGGCAAGATGGGGCATCCTGCGCGTGCCTGCCAAGCTCCCGTGAGATGCGCCGTGTGCGCGGGGAAGGGTCTTCCCCAGGACCACAGGGTCGGGGGTCCCGCGTGCACTGGGTGCAAAAGCAAGAGCAAGGCTCGCCGCGCGAAAAAGAGAAAAGGCGGGCAGCCTCCCCCGACGCGCGATCCCGCACGGTCGACCTCCGGGGCCTTAACCCGGGCTGGGACCAAAAGGAAGGCGCAGACAGACCTCAAAGTTACTGGCTTTGAGGTCACACACGCGGGGAAAAAGGTAGCAGGCCTGGCGATTGAGGGGACCGTAGCTGCGGAGCCCCCAAAACCGCAGAGGCTGCCGAGGGTCAAGTTGGCCTTGACATCGACGACGACCGTCGCAACGTCGCTGCCGGAACGGATGGAAGTCGAACAAACCGTCGACCTAACCGAGACGGACAATCTAAATCCACCTTACTGTCCTCCCCTTGTGGACAAGGATGTCAGGGCATTACAAGAGGTGAAAAAACCGCCAATGACCCTCCGTTCGAAATGGAGTTCGAGGAGGATGTCCCGCCGTCGTCGTCGAGAGATGCAGGGACGGAGGCGGACGAGGATACAGGGGATGCCACCCCGATAAACAATGAAGAGGAGAAACCGGAGGATCGGGTGGGTTACATTTAAATGACCCTCAAAATCCTCCAGGCGAACTTGAACCACGCCCGCGCGGCCCAGGACTTATTCTGCCAGGTCTTGGCCGAGCGCGGGTGTGGCTTGGGTATCGTAGCGGAGCCGTATCGCGTACCCCATAATCACCCTTGTTGGTTTAGCGACAAGGGTGGCTCCGCTGCGATAACAGTGAGAGCAACGCCGACGTCCCCCCCCGTGCAGCCTTAAATGTGCGGGGGAGGGCTTCGTTGCCATTGAGTACGGGCCCCTCTGCGCGGTGGCGATTTATGCCCCTCCCAGTTGGACCCGTGCTAGATACGGGCAGCTCCTCGCCGAGGTCGAGGGCTGCGTGCGATCATGCACAACTGGCCGGGTCCTGGTCGCGGGGGACTTCAACGCGAAGTCCGCATTATGGGGTTCCCCGCGGACCGATTACAGGGGCGACGTCACCGAACGGTGGGCGGCGGGTCTTGGCCTCTGCTTGGCAAACAGAGGCCGGGAGAGCACGTGCGTGCGGGAGCGGGGGGGGGTCCATCGTGGACCTCACGTGGGCCACGCCCCTCGTCTCTCGCGACTTACACAATTGGCGGGTGGTCTCTGACATGGAGACCCTCTCGGACCACCAGTACATTGAAATGGTGGTCCGGGGAAGCCCGCCGGGCCTGCTCACTCGCCGTCTAGCCGCTGGCAGAAAACAGCGCAGATGGGCCCTTAAGAAGTTGGACGCAGACCTTTTACAGGCTGCGATCCTGGCCCTCACGTGGGGCAGAGAGGTCGCGAATCTCGAAGGGGCAGAGGCCGACATAGATGGCGTCGACGAAATCGCTGGGGACATGGTGAGGTTGGTGTCGCGCGCGTGTGACGTGGCCATGCCCCGGTTCACGCCAATGCCCCCTCGTAGACGGGCGTATTGGTGGACGGAGGAGTTGGCCGCTCTTAGGCGCTCCTCCGTCCGCGCTAAGCGCCAATGGAGAAGAGCGCGTGCCGGACGACGCGGTGGCGACGCCCTCTCCGAGGAGGAGGCCGGGCGGGCCTGGCGCTCCGCCCGCCAGGACCTAGCCCGTGAGATTTGCGCGGCCAAGGAGCGGGCCTGTAAGGAGCTCCTCGACAGTGTGAACGAGGATCCATGGGGGCGCCCCTATAGGCTTGTGTTGAACAGGTTGAAGCCGTGGACGCCCCCGCTGACGGAGTCGCTGGCCCCCGAGTTCGTTGGACGAATAGTCCGCGAACTATTCCCCCCCGCGGATGTGGGGGAAATTAACTTTCCCCCCACCGCCCATTATGAGTGGGAGGGAGCTTGGGAGGTCGGCGACGATGAGCTGTCGAGGGCTCTTAAGAGGGTCAGAAGGGGCAAAGTCCCTGGCCCTGACGGCATTCCGGGTCGCGCGTGGACCGGCGACATGAGGCGGGTATATACTGCCTGCATGCGAGCCGGTAGGTTCCCCCGAGAATGGAAAATGGCCAGCCTGGTGCTCCTGCCAAAGCCGGGCAATTCTCCGGACCAGCCCGGCGCATACCGTCCCATATGCCTGCTGGACGA